ATGTTTCTTAATTCATTTTACTCAATTCTATTCTATTTTTAATTTAATTCAATTAATTTTTAACTTTCAAAATTAAAAAAAAAAAAAAACTTATTTGCAATTTTTACTACAAAATCTTTAAAAAAAAAACTTGGTTGTTTTGATAGCGACTCGACATCGTCTATCAGCAACCTGCATTACAATAATTCAGAAATTCTTGCCTCATAAAACAAAGGATCCGGGCAGTTTCACGATCCTACTTACCATAGGTGCATTACCTATGGGCAAGGCTTTGTTAAATTTAGGGGCAAACATCAATTTAATGCCATTATCCATGTTAAAGAGGATTGGAGATCTAGATTGACTTTGCAGCTAGCAGATAGATCTATAAAGTTCTCTTATGGTGTAGCAGGGGATGTCTTGGTAAAGGTGGATAAATTTTTATTTCTGGTTGATTTTGTGATTATGGACATGGAGGAAGATGTAAAAGTCCCTCTGATATTAGGAAGGCATTTCATGAACATTGCTAAGGCGATTATTGATGTTGATGATGGCAAACTCAATGTGAGAGTTTGGTACAAAGAAGTAAATTTTAATGTCTTTGAAGCAATACACCATCCTAAATCATACAACAATGTTTTAGGATGGATGTCATTGATGAGTTATGCATAGTAGAGAAGAAACAATTGTACAAGTCTTGTCTATTGGAAAGAGCTTTAATTGAAGCTTATCAAGATTTAAATGAAGAGGAAGAAAAGGATATTGCAGATTGTTTGAGAGATTTAGAATCCTCTAAAGAACTATCTCCACATGAAGGCTCCCTTGAAAAGATGAGGGGAAGAAGCTAGTAGTGATCAGCAGTGAATTGTCAAAGGGAGATGAAGAAAAATTGATTTCAATGGTGAAGGCGAATAAAGGAGCTATAAGTTGGACTTTATCAAATCTTAAAGGTATTAGCTTGTCCTATTGCATGGACAAGATTCATATAGAGGCAGATTTTAAACTAGTAGCTCAACCTCAGAGGCTTTTGAACCCTACCATGAAAGAGGTGGTAAAGAAAAAAGTGATGAAATTGCTGGATGCAAGAATAATCTATCCCATTTTAAATAGTGCCTGAGTTAGTTCAATTCAGGTGGTTCCAAAGAAAGAAAGGATGACTATAGTCAGAAATGATAAGGATGAATTGATTCCAACCAGAACAGTTACTAATTGGAGAATGTGCAATGACTACAGAAAATTCAACCAAGCTACAAGGAAAGATCACTTCCCTTTGCCATTTATGGATCAAATGCTAGAGAGACTAGCTGGACAAGCTTTGTATTGTTTTCAAAACGGGTATTCAAGCTACAATCAGATTACTGTGGATCTGGAAGACCAAGAAAAAACTACTTTGACATGTCCTTTTGGTATCTTTGCTTATAGGAAGATGTCGTTTGGATTATGTAATGCAGCAGTTAATTTCTAAAGGTGCATGCTGGCTATTTTCTCAGACCTGGTGGAGAATTATATTGAAGTCTTCATGGATGACTTCTAAGTGTTTGCATCATCTTTTGAGCATTGTTTAGAAAATCTAAACACCGTACTGAAGCGGTGTGTAGAAACAAATCTGGTGCTTAACTGAGAAAAATGTCATTTTATGGTGATTGAAAGAATGGTGCTGGGCTATAAAATATCCTCCAAGGGCCAACAAATGTAGAAGGAATAAGAAGCTTCCTTGGGCATGCTGAATTTTACAGGCAATTTATCAAGGACTTTTCAAAGATTGCAAAGCCACTTAGCAATTTAATCAATAAGGATATCTCTTTTAATTTTAATGTTGAATGCTTACATGCCTTCGAATTGCTTAAACAAAAATTGATTTCAGCACCTGCCATAGTCTCCCTTAATTGGAATTTAGATTTTGAATTAATGTTTGATGCAAGTGATTATGTAGTTGGAGCTGTACTAGGATAGAGGAAGTCTAAAAGTTTCCACGCTATTCACTATGCTAGTAAGGTTTTAAATGAAACACAAGTGAATTATGCTGTAACGTCCCAAATTTTGTAATATTATTTTGATTATTAATATAAATATGTGGGTTGCTATTTGAAAGTCTATTTGATGAGTACGATGATGTGAATATATGAATATGAATATGTGTAGATAGATATAAAAGCATAATTGTGGATATTGATTGTGGATTGATGGCTGGGTGTGTTTGAAATTGATTGAGAAATAGGCTAAGTGTGTGATGCAGGGACATTCTCTTTGTAGCGAGAAGGCCTTGGGCGAGAGGGGTGGATTTCTGGGTTGCAGTCTCACAGTAACGAGAGGGCCTCATTGTAGTGAGATTCTGCAAAAACTAAAGTGCAGTTTCCTCTGATATTTTCGCTGTAGCAAGAAAGGGTGTCAACCTCGCTGCAGCAAGAGATGTCTCTCTGTAGTGAAAATATCGCAACCAGAAGGGTATTTAAAGGGTTAGGGTTCAAGGAAATGTATTTTTCACATTTCTTTTTCCTTCTCCCATGATTCTATCAAACCCAAACTCTTTTTCACCGATTAAATTGTCTCCAAATCCGTCAATGAGTAAGATTGAAGGTTGAAATCGTGTTTGGGATGCTTGGAGGTAAGTTTTATGGACTAGGGTTTCGTTCCTTCGTCCTTTTCTTGTCCTTTTCCTTCGTTTTCTCGGATTCTCATGGAGATTTCCCATGTTTTAAGGACAAAGCACCTTGTAGGGAACGTTTTCTGCTATTGTTTCATTTTGGGTTTTCATTCTGAGGTAAGGGGACTCTACCCTATTTCTTTTTGTTTGAAATTCATTGTTAGAGATAGATAATGAAATGTGGTTGAGATAGAATGTAGGAAAGTGTGTACCTTAGTGGAAATTTCGTATGAAATATAATAGGATAGTTATTGGGTGATGTGTGTGATGAAATGAATTTGATTGACATGGGATTGTAACGGACTTGTGATGTGTTTAAGTGTAATGTGACCGATTATGTGTATACATGTGATATGTGAAGATGAAAACTATGATGTGATTGAAAGTGTAGGTGATTGTATATGGTTGGATGCCATTGATGGATGATGAACAATATGAAATGAGTGAATATGTGTGCATGGCATGTTGATTGTGTTTGAATATGTTAAAAAATTATGAATGATTCAGCGATACATTGGGGGTGTGGAAGATTGGGGCGGTAGAAATACCTTGGGGAAGAAAGAATGGTGGTGACACCAACAGTGAGCGTGGGTGCACTGCATGCCACACACTTTCCTCCTGACTTGACCTTTAAGTAACACCTTTGTTAGGGGGCTCAGTACTGCACACGTTGTATCCGTATTGCGGGAGCTATCCGGTGACCATCCATGGTGTGAACCGAGTAAGTTCCTAAGGTTGAGGGCATCAGGAATTTGTGACCACAGTGCCATAGTGAGCGTGACTGACGTATAGTGAGCGCACGTGTGTGCGAATTATTTGATGGTACAGTGAGCGCACTTGTGTGTGAATAAGAATGGAATGTTGGAATTATTGCTTTGTGCCTGTTTGATGCACGATTGAGTTATGTTAATAAATGTGTGAAATGTGTAAGGTGAGTCTATGTGCTTGTGTGTGATAGTGTAAATTACTCACCCTTACGTTTATTTTTCAGGTGACTAAGACGATCAACACCAGACTCAGTGAACGGAAGGGATGAAATTGCTATAGGACTTAGAAAATTAATTTTTGAAATTTGATGTATTTAATTTGGTCTTATAGTACTTATTTAATGCAAACTTGTAACTCTCCTTTGTTTTTGAAATACCTTATTGAACTATGTATTGAAAACTAATTAAATGTAATTTTATTTACTCCCATTTGTTGTAAAAATTTATTTATTTAGAAAATTTAAATTAAGGTGTTACAATTTTGGTATCAGAGCAGTTCATCCAAACTGGATTGAGGTATCGGGCTGAAGCATCTAAGCTGTGTACTCATATGTTTTGTTTACCTGAATTATGATATTGTTATTAATTTAATGAGTTAAAGTGTGGTTTGTTGAATTGTTTGCTAGCTTAGATTAGAAATGGCTGGTAGAGGTAGAGGAGTTGGAATCACCAATGACCTCATAGAGCGAATGACCAAAGTTCTAAAGGCCTTGGTGCACAATCAAGATGGAGAGCAGGCTGAGTATCGAGGATTGTCTGCCTTCACTAGGCATAATCCTCCAAAAATTGAGGGCAAGTTTGACCCAGGAGAAGCCCAAAGGTGGGTGGCAAATGTGGAGAAGATCTTCCATGCGATGGGATGCAAGGAAGAATACAAAGTTACCTATGCCATATACATGTTATTTGGGGAAGCAGAAGATTAGTAGAGGTTTGCCAGTCAAACCTTGCCACAAGAGGGTGGCTATATTCAATGAGAGGCATTTAAGGCAAGCTTCCTAGGGAATTACTTTTCTCAGGACCTTAAGAAGCAGAAATCTAGATAGTTTCTCGATTGGAGACAAGGAAATATGACAGTGGGGGGGTATGTTGCAAAATTTCAAGAATTAATGAAGTACTTACCTCACTATCAGCATGGGGATAGAAAGGAAGACTTGTGTGCTCAGTTTAAGCATAGGCTGAGGCTAGAGATCTGTGCCACTGTCAGTGTGTTCTAGCTGACCGACTTGCCCACTCTGGTGAGCAAGTGTAGAATCTTTTAAGCTAATTCCAAGGGCAAGACCGTGGACACCAAGGGGAGTGGCCCCATAAGGCAGAATAGAAGACCCCATAGATTTTTAAAGGGGCCATACTTAAGCTCCAATCATTCTCAGTCCAGAGGGACTTCGTCTCAGGAGAGGAGCAGTGGGAGTGGCTCAGGTTCAGGCTCTTTCAGAGGGTCTATCAAGTATTTCAGGTGTGGAGGACCACATATATTGAGGGATTGCCCATGGACCAATTATGGCAACTGTAGAAAGTTAGGGCACACTGCTAATGTATGCTAGGCTGCTAAGAAAAGTGGCAGTATGAGTACAACTTAAAGGCCTGAGTCGAGAGGGAGCACAGGACCGAGTATGGAGCCAAAGCCAAGTATTCCTGGGAGAGTTTTTGCCATGAGTAGAGCAGAAGCTTCACAATTTGAGGAGTTAATTAGAGGTAAATGCATTATTAAGGGTCGATTGTTGGATGTGTTGTATGACTCAGGTGCTACACACTCCTTTGTTTCTGTGGAATGTATGAAGAGTCTGGGTTTGCACGTGACTAAATTGTCGTGCAATGTTGTGGTGACTACCTCAATAATGGTGCATGATAGGGACTTCGAGGTAGACTTGATTTGTTTGCCTCTTTCTCAATTGGATGTGATTTTGGGGATGCATTGGCTAGTCGCCAACCATGTGCTGCTAGATTGCATAGAGAAGACGTTAATTTTTGGTGCGTCGATGTTAGAAATTCCAAGGCTTTTGAGTCAAGGTGCGTGGGAGAACACGGTGAACGCTAAGGCCTTTATGGTCATGTTCTTATTGGAGGCCGAAAGTGGAATGGAACTGAAGTACATCTCGATGGTGAAGGATTTCTTGGAAATCTTACCTGAAGAAGTATCTGAGTTCACAATGGACCTCATTTTGGGAGCAAGTCCGATTTCTATGGCACCATATAAGATGTCACTGGTGGAGTTGGCAAAGGTCAAGAAGCAAGCAGAGAATTTGTTGTAGAAACGGTTTGTAAGGCTGAGTGTATCACCGTGGAGAGCATCAGTGCTCTTGGTGAAGAAGAAAGATAGGAGTATGAGGATATGTGTGGACTACCAACAATTGAATAAAGTGATAATAAAGAACAAGTATCCATTTCCCAGAATTGATGACTTGATGGACCAGCTGAGGGGAGTTGCAGTATTTTTGAAGATTGATTTGAGATCGAGGTATCATCAGATTAGGGTGAAGAATGAGGATGTACCTAAGACGACTTTCAGGACGCGGTATGGTCACTACGAGTACTTGGTGATGCCGTTTAGAGTGACCAATGCGCCTGTCGTGTTCATGGACTACATGAACAGGATCTTCTATGAGTTTTTGGATAAGTTTGTGGTGTTGTTCATAGACGACATTCTAATTTATTCGAAGACTCGAAAGGAGCATGCCAAGCATTTAAAGATCATTTTGCAAATTCTGAGGGAGAGGTAGTTGTACACCAAATTCTCCAAGTGTGATTTCTGGCTGTCTCAAATTCAGTTTTTGGGGCATGTAATATAAGATGACAAAATTATGGTAGATCTTGCAAAGGTGGAAGCGGTAGCCAGATGGCCGAGGCCTACAAATGTGACAGAGATCTGCAGTTTCTTAGGACTAGCGGACTATTATAAGAAATTCATTGAGGAGTTTTCTAAAATAGCTTTGCCTTTGACGAAGCTGACCTACAAGGGTAAGGAGTTTAAATAGAGCAGAGCATGTGAAGCTAGTTTCCCAGAGTTGAAGCTGAAGTTAACCTCAGCACCTGTGTTATTTCTGCCTAACCCAGAGCGAAAGTTTGATGTGTATTGTGATGCGTCTGGGCATGGGCTTGGGTGTGTTTTGATGCAAGATGGGAGAGCAGTTACCTATATCTTGAGGCAATTGCATCCACATGAAGTCAACTATCCGACACATGACTTGGAGTTAATCGCAGTGGTTTTTGCTCTTAAGGTGTGGAGGCACTACATTTATGGAGCAAGGTTTGAAGTGTTTAGTTATCACAAGAGTTTGAAGTACCTATTTGACTAGAGAGAGCTGAACATGCGGCAGAGGAGGTGGGTGAAATTTCTCAAGGACTATGATTTCACATTGTCTTACCATCCTGGTGATGAATCCACATTTTATTAGATTTTTACTTGTCATTTTAATGTTTTTTAACAGAAAAAGTAAACTTAGGAAGTGTAAATAATATAAAAACATCATTTTGGTCAAATATCATAGGTTTCTTAATTTTCTGTTAATTTACATTGATTTACATAGATATAGTTTGCAATTTTGACCATTTGAATAATTGTGTAGGAATTTCTAGACTTATTCCATGGATTTTTATCATTTGAAAAAATTTGAGATGAAAGTGATCACTTTGGATCCCATAGTGAACACTACAGCAAGCTAGATCTAGAAAGGCAGACCAAAGTGATCACTATGAACCCATAGTAGACACTACAAAGACCCCAGTTTGAAGAAGTGTTACGCGTGATTACTTTGGAACCATAGTAGACACTTTGCAGTAGCCAAAGTTATCACTTTGATACCAAAGTGACAACTTCAGAGAGGCCAAAAATAGCACAAGACTTGCGTGTGGCTACTATAGAGCGATAGTAACTACTATGGAGTACTGCGCGTTATCACTCTGATACCAAAGTAACAACTCCAGAGAGGCCAAAAGCACAAGACTTGCGCGTGACTACTATGAAGCGATAGTAACTACTATGGAGCACTGCGCGTTATCACTATGAAACCATAGTAGTTACTATGGGCAAAAATTTCTACACTATAAGCAAAAATTTCTACACTATAAATAGAATTTTAGAAATTAGGGTACGAGGGCTTTCACATACTTTTAGCTTTTTTTGCCATTTTGGGGAACACTTGCAGAGCCTATGGTGGCCTTGGGTGACAGCCAAGGATCCAACCTAAAGTTTGATTTACATTTTCTTCTTACTTCTCTTTGATTTTTACATTGATGTTGTTGATTTCTCTTAACTTTTACTTTGTAATCGTGAGACCCATCCTCATGGAGGGCTAAATTTCTTGTAATCCCTAGTGAGTTCACTCAGATTCTTGAATTCTTAGGTTTTGAATGTTAATACAAATCCTTTTCTTTCATGAATTTCTTCTTCCCAATCTCTTGAATTGAATTAATGGTTGAATGAGGGAGACATTGCTTAATTAGCCCTAATTCATTTTAATGAAATTCTAAACTTGAATTGCTTAATTCTAGATTTATTTCTAAGGTTGTGTAATCTTGGGATGAGAGATTAGAGTCCTTGAATTGCTTAATTTTGTATGGGAATCTAAGGTTAATTTTTGCTTGTTAAATTAACCTAATTCTGGGAGGAGAGGAAGAGTATTAAATCTTGAGAGGAATAAGGATAGAGTCTACATGAATGAACCAGGGGTTACTACAATTTATTGATTGAACTTTGCAATTTAATTTTCTGCTTAAATAGATTGAACTTGAAATCACAAACCCCCCCTTTTTATTTGCTTTCTGAATACATTGCATACTACATATTTGATATTTGGTTACTCATCCAATGATTCATGGGAGACGACCTAGGTTAGCACCCTAGTATTACATTAATTTATGTTTATATTTTGATGAGGATTCGCGACAAATCTTTCGTTCATCACCTGGCAAGACAATTGTGATGGCCGACGCATTGAGCAAAAAGTCTTTACACGTGGCAGCTATGATGGTAAAGGAGATGAAGTTGATTGAGGAATTTCAGGACATGAACTTGACTATGGAGGTAAGGCCAAAGAGTTTGTATCTCGGAGCGACAATGATCCACAACGATTTCTTGGTATACGTCTGAGATGCTCAGCAAAGAGATGTGTTCCTCCAAGATATGATGCGACAGAAGAGTGAAGGGAAGGACTTAGAGTTCCACTATGATGAGAATGGGGTGATGAAGTTTCAGAATCGTGTGTACATTCCCCAAGTGGATGAGTTGAAACAGATGATACTTGAGGAGACACACAAGAGTAGGATAAGTTTTCACCCCGGTGCAACCAAGATGTATCAGAACCTCCAAAGGAACTTGTGATGGAATGGAATGAAGAAAGATGTGGCTGAATATGTGTCTAGATGTCTGACTTGCCAAAAGGCAAATGTAGAACACCAGCGTTGCAACCGTTAGAGATCCCTAAGTGGAAGTGAGACGACATTTCCATGAATTTTGTTTTGGATTTTCCGAAGACCAGAAACAACCATGATGCCATTTGGGTGATAGTGGACCGGTTGACCAAAGCTGCATACTTTCTTCTGATCAACCTGAAGTATAAGTTGGAGAGACTCGAAGATTTATATGTGAGAGAGATAGTCAGGTTGCATAAAGTGCCAACTAGTGTGATATCTGCCAGAGATCCTAGGTTTACCTCAAAGTTTTATGAGAGCCTGCAGAAGGCGTTAGGCACTAAATTGAAACTTAGTTTGGCATATCATCCTCAGACTGACGGTCAGACAAAGAGAACCATTCAATCCTTAGAGGATCTGTTGAGAGCTTGTGTGATTGAGCCGTAGGGAACTTGGGAAGAATGCATGCCATTGGTGGAGTTCACGTACAACAATAGTTATCACGCTAGCATTGGGATAGCACCGTTTGAGGCTTTGTATGGACGAAAGTGTAGAACTCCTCTGTGTTGGTACGAGACTGGAGAGGCTACCTTGTGTGCACCGGACATGATCCAGAAACAGAACAAGCAAATCAAGATGATCAAAGAGAAGATTAAGGCTGCACAGGATAGGCAGAAGAGCTAATATGATAAGAGGAGGAAGCCTTTAGAGTTTCAGGTGGGTGACCATGTGTTTTTGAAGGTCTCACCTATGACTGGAGTTGAGAGAGCTCTGAAATCTCAAAAGCTATCTCCTAAGTTCATTGGGCCATTTGAAGTGCTAAGTAGAATTGGTCCTGCAATGTATCGGATAGAGCTACCTCTGAATCTCTCGAACCTACATCTGGTGTTCCATAGGTCACAGCTCAAAAAGTATGTGTCAGATCCCTCTCACGTGATCGATCTTAACCCGGTTCAATTAAGAGAGAACTTGTCCTATGATGTGTACCCGGTAAGGATTGCGGATCACCGTGTTAAGCAGTTGAGGGGCAAGAAAATCTCGTTAGTGAAGGTAATTTGGAGCTCAAGTGATGAGGGAGATGCAATATGGAAAACGAAGAGTAGAATTGTATCCGGAGTTGTTTGTGTAGCTTAGTTAAATTTTGGGGACGAAATTCCCTAAAAGAGGGAAGAGTTGTAATGCCCTGAATTTTGTAATATTGTTTTGATTATTAATATGAATATGTGGGTTGCTATTTGAATGTGTATTTGATGAGTATGATGATGTGAATATATGAATATGAATATGTGTAGATGGATATATAAGCATAATTGTGGATATTAATTGTGGATCGATGGCTGGGTGTGTTTGAAATTGATTGAGAAACAGGATAAGTGTGTGATGCAAGGACATTCTCGCTGTAGTGAGAAGGCCCTAGGCGAGTTTGGAATTCTGTTGCGTTCTCGCTACAGCGAGAGGCTCCTCGCTGTAGCGAGAAGGCAACAAAGATGGTGGATTTTTGGGTTGTAGTCTCGCTGCAACAAGATTCTACAGAAACTAGAGTGCGATTTTCTCTGATATTTTCACTGTAGCGAGAAGGGGTGTCAATCTCGCTGTAGCGAGGGAAGATGTCTCGCTGTAGCGAGAATATCACGACCAGAATATCCTTCTCTCGCAATTCTCTTGACCCCAAACCCTTTTCCATCGATCAAATTGTCTCCAAAGCTGTCTGTGAGTAAGATTGAAGGTTGGAATCGTGTTTGGGACATTAGAGAGTCCCTTAGATAGATTAGGTTTGTTAGGTTGAATCATATTTGTAGAGAGGAAAACCTTTGTGCCGATTCTATGGCAAAAATGGGTCTTGACCTCATGTCCCCCTTTGTCAGTTTAAGTCCCCTCCCTCCCCTTGGTTCTTTTGTTAACAAGAGATTCCTATAATTGCTACTATTTTAGACCCTCTATGTAAGGATTCTTGTTGTTTAGACTGGTAAGCTCCGTTTATTAGCAAAAAAATGTTATTTATATAACATCTATTATGTAACTAATAACATTAGCCCAGTTAATAACTACATACTAATTTAATATCTAATGTGTCACATGAACATTTTTCATAAATATTACTTATGTTTACTAATGAAAGAGACTACTTTGATAGAAATCACAAGAATTTTAACCTAAATTCTAAAATAAAGTATTTAAATTTAAAAGTTAATTAAAAAAGACTTAAAAAATTTAGAACTAAGGTAATAATTTACTCAACTTTTAAATTGTGCTATCGACATCTCATTGCAACAAATAACTCATTTTTTGGCTTATCGTCGTTAATGGGTTGTGTGTCATTACTTCGGCCTTCATTAAAAGATAGAAAATCTTCTATAAAGCTTACTAAGAATAGGGATGCTGTCACATAATTAGAGAACTAACTAGCAAATGTACTAGGTAGTTGTAGCAAGTAATAAAATTTAAAAATCAATATGAGTGTCAAGTATCGTCCTCAGGGATTAGGTCTATCAATTACTACTTCATAAATCAATAACTAGTTGAGCCAATCGAATATTGAAGATGTTTTGAATCATTTGAGAACAAAAACAATAAAGTGCAGAAATTTGAAAAATACAGTAAAACAGAATACGAATTTTGTATTAAAATGTTATATAAAAAATAGTTAGGAATCACTTCACCATATTTTTTATTGCAATGTAATAATGTTCTGGACTCTTAAGAATTCTAATTGATTGATAATCAATTTTCCTTCTTTAACCAAAGGATAATTCCTTACCTCATTGATCCTAATACCTAATTAAACCTCCCTAATTCCTTAGATGAAATTCAATCAAATATTGCATTAAGTTCTGAAAATTATATGATTATTAGATTATGATACTTATTCCTAAGATCTCAATAACCTAGACATATGATTCAGATCTAAGAAATAAACTCAATTTCCATTGATGAAGATTCCTAATGTGTAATTTAATATGAAAGTTAAATTGTTAGCATCCTCGCAAGTTTAAAATTTTAGGATAGAGAGGTGCAGAATTTGATCTCGCCTTTGAAATTTAACAAAATTTTACATTGTAACATACCTCATTACTTTATGGTTGAAATCTTATGCAGTGAAAAGTACATTATAAAGGATATAAACCCTTTTTTAACTTACATTATAACCTGATAATTTTTTTTTATTTGTTTTGGAGCCAATAAGTAGAATATAAAATAATCCATTTCCACTATCGATGAGAGAAAAGAACTAAGCTCAGTTGCTTTCAAGTAATGCCACGCCAGCAATTTTCACTCACTTTCCAGGTTCCAACTGCAGACTGAAAGAAATTCTGGGGAAAAAAAACACAGATTATGAAAATCAAGCGCAAAAAGTGATATAGAAAAGTCCAAATGTTGTTTGCATAGCTGAGACTGAGCACTCTCAGAAAAAGATTGTACCCCTTTTCAAGTTTCGAGGTAGCTCGGTATCGGTACACCTGACTGTTCTGTCAACTTTTTATAAGCACCTTGCAACTTTCTAGTTACCGGCCCCACTTTTCCATTACCAATTGTGCGTCCATCGACCTTCACTACCTGGAAGTGGTACCATATGCATATCATGTGAGCAAATAACTAACTACTAAATGGCTGCAAGAAGCCAAGTTAGTTGAATATCGAATTCTGAATCATGTTGCTAATAGCACTTGTAGGAACTCAAACCAGTCAGATAAATAACTGATGGGCATGCTTGTCAACTTTCAAAGGGATCAGGTCAGACTAGTTATATTGGAGCTAATGGATTAAAGACCAAGGAGTTCTGAGCATTTCATCAATAAGATCTCTCGAGTTGCACTGGTTAAGGGGAGCATTTACATTTCATGGTTAAGTGTGTGGAGAACTCAAGTTCTTGAGGTTGAGCTCCCATCAATAGAATTGCGATTTAATGATTAATTAAAAAAATCAATGCCGCTTATGAGAGTTCAAAATCGTGAAAGCTTGAGCTCTACATGAATTCACCTTTTATTTTAACCAATGTAAGTAAGTACATACATTATCTGGGCTAATTAATGGGCTATGAGACTTGCTAGTAATACGGACACCATCAAAATGCAGTGACTGAATGGGCTATGAGACATAAATGTTGGCCACTATCATGTGGTAACCAATCAACATGCTTCCAGCTTTGACAACCCTTTGTGAAATCGATACTGAAAGGGATCTATCAATATTCTAAAATGAGGCACATAAACCATTGAGAAAACTAGGAGGAACACAAAACCCAAACTGAGTAATCTATCATGTTAGATAACATACTACAGAGAAAATTCATAAAAGTTTAAGGCACTTACTGGGCTTAGTTCTCCCATCGTTCCTGTTGTCCATATCTGCAAGGCAATCTTCTAGTTATCAAAAGTAGAAATTTGAATCTTCGAACCAAGGGAGAGGGGGTGACAGAAAGAGAGAGACGGAACAAATATTATGTAATGACATCTGACAGTGTGGTACAAGAAACTAACGTTTTTATACGTTAGAAATATAACTTGGTTTTCCTAATATATCCCTCATTTCTATACTTGAGCCACAAATATTATTCAATGAAAAAAATAAAAGAAAATTTAAAAATTCTAAGATTTTTGGAATAGTAGATATTTTAGTTAAACCTCATCTGCGGTATGCACTTCTGAGAGGCTGATTCTCCGCTCTTCTAAGATAAACTGCTCTTTCACTACAAGATCCATTACCTTAAATTGTGAAACAGTTGAGTTTCATCAGTGTCAGAATAAAATAATGAACATAATCTAAAATGTTATAGAAAATAATTTAGTACCTGCTGAATGAAATTATATATAAAGATCATGCTTTACATTTATCTTCTCCATTTTCTTCAAATATTTATTTTATGACAACAAAATGCTTCCATTACCAGTAAATAAATAAGATGCTGAATATGAGCACTACCATTGGTTCAAAATGGTATTTGGGAGCCATCTCATGCTGGCGTTCCCTTCAAAGGCTTTTTCATTGTCAAATTCTTAGTTTTACTAGATCTTGGTCATACATATTAAAAATCTATTATTATATGTTATTCTACTTCTCACACTTGCACCTTTGTTACTGTTATGTTAAAGCAAGTGAAACAGGGGTTCCAACTCTAACAGTATATACAAGTATGAAACGTAGATTGGTATAAAAATAAAGTGAACCTATACAACTTACAGTTGCTCGAGTAATGCCAGGAAGACAGTAATCAGCATGTGGTGTCAAAACACGGCCCTTTTTAACTATGAACTGCACGAAGTAAAAAACTATATTAATTAATTTTATGTGGAAGCCTTCCATTCTCCGTTGCAAAAAGAAATACAAAAACCATTTTTGTTTCTCTCCTTTTAAAGTTGTGCATAAATCAATAGCTCAGGGCTTAAACTCCAAGAACCACCTCCTTGCTATCTAGGAAACCCTGGCATATAATTCACAAAATAGAGAACAAAGACCAAAGTTGACTGACAGCATACGATATTTGTTGCATTGGTTTCAGATGCATAACCATCTTTGTCAAGCATGACTGCATCATCTGCTTTTGCATTATTGCCTTCAATCTGCATCAGGCCAAATAATAACATTTTTCAGATAAGCTGTAAGAGATAATATTCAGAATGATATGCATGTAAAGATGTTTAAAACAACAGTTTTCTCGTGGTTGCAACAGTTAATCAAATTTTCACAATGCTACATACATCCCTTCCTGTATCAACAAATCATCAACGTGTTTCTGCAATCATAATATCATAAAAACCCCTCTCAAATTAAGACCAAATCATCATGGGTAAGAAAGTAAATTGCATTTTTTTTAGTATAAAACATTGCCCACAATAAGATTGATACTGATCTAAAGAATAGCCTATCGAAATTCAAAATTCATGATAAGCTCAACTGCCATCCTTGTTACAATAGTATATAATCTACTAGCAATATTATTCATTATCTGACACATTTTGCTGTAATAATTACATGTAAAATCTCATGAGAAGAACAGAAAATTACCTTTGCAAGTATGTTATTGAGGAGGTTATTGTGATGAATCTTTGAATCCAAATTCTGGTAAACAAATAAAAGGGGAAGAGACAGTCAACAGGACAGAATTAAACGAGTACCACTCAAGCAGAAATTTAGTTGGTTTTGGATTAATCTCATGTATTAAAAGCTATATCCCAAGCAATTCTGTGAGACTTCAATTATTATAATGGCAAAATAATTTCAGAAGAATTTCATACACTAGAGTTAAACAAGACAACATCAATCACATTTGTCAATACCAGTAGATTCAGTACTAACGTTAATAAATTTCTCTTCTATCTGATCTAAACATGCCTACAGATATGCTGACACAACAAACATCAAAATTTTAATTCTGGATATTATAACTTTGCTCTGCTTAGACAATTGGCACCTTTTTCCTGCTCTTACATATGTGAAATCTGATAGGAACTGAGTGTATTTATGGAATTAACACCGAAATCTCAGGGAACTCCCTGGTAATACAGCAGAAAAAATGAAAATAGCAGAAAGGTAATAATGATGAAATAGAAACTTCTCCTAGGCAGCAGCCACCTCCCAATCACTTCCCAGATATTTCCTACCTCTTCACTTTGATCAATTACCTTATATCCCTCCCTCAGCCGCTCTCTCCCTCCTCCACGTTATTCAATTTGTTAGTCCGTTAGAATCTTCCCTAACAGCCTCCCTGCCCACAATCCCCTTTTTACCCCTCCTTCGCTGGTATGTTTTTAGTAGAGGCCCAATTGGCTTGGACCCAACAATACCCCCCCCCCCATTGAGAGGAACCTTGTCCTCAAGGTTGAAGTGCAGGAATATAGCCTGCAGCAAATCAAAGTCTTCCCACGTGCTGTCCTCCTTAGGCAGACTCTTCCATTTAATTAGAACCTCCTAGCACCCATTCATGAGTTTCCGGGCATCCAGCACCTCTTCAAGCTCAACTTGGAGCTCAAATTCTTCTATTAAAAATGGGGGTAGAGCTTGATTGGGTTGACTAGTAGGGGGCCCTCTTAAGCTGGGAAACATGAAAAATAGGATGCACTCGGGATGATTCTGGCAACGATATCTTATAAGCAACAGCTCCTATATTTTTCTTCCACACAAAAGGGGCCATAAAATCTGGGGCTCAATTTTTCATTCACCCTCTTTGCCAATGACTTCAACCTATATGGTCGAGCCTTCAACTACACTTTGTCCCCAATCTGATATTCCACTTCTCGCCGTACCTTATCTGCCTGCTGTAACATCCCTAATTCTATGAATTATTAGTTTTATGAACCTGATCTCCCTAAGTTTATGGGAAGTATTTAGAGACTTAATTTTTGTGAAGGAATTTTTCTTTCTTTCTTTTTATTCTTATCTTTTGTGTTGCTATGTGAATGACCTTGATTTTATGATTCTATGGAATGTGTTGATTCTTACCTCAGTATGAGATAAATAATGGATTCAATGAATGAGTACAATATGTGCACATTGACCCTGCCACTGCATATAACAAGTAATAAATTTAAATGGACGTGGTAAGTGTGTACTAATTTCTACCTCTGCATGTTATGGATAATGAGTTTAGTGTGTTTGAAAAATTTTAGTGTATGGACTGATCTTATCTTTGCATGTTGGATGAAACAACTTCAATACATATGTACAGAATATGCATGTGAATCCTTCCTCTGTACTCGACGGAAGATGAGTTCGGGACATGTATATGGTATTATATGCGTACTGTGTTGCTTCTGCAAAAGATAAAATACTACGCTAAGATATACATGTACATGTGGTATATACTGATGCTATAGAATATGTGTGTGTGTGTATATATATATATTTATATGTATATCCAACTTCTGCGTGTGAGAATTTATGGATGATATGTGTATAAATAACAAATGCTGATTCTGATTCTGCATCAGGAAAATATTAAATCAAGTGCAGGTACACATATTAATTTGTTTCTGCATAACATACCTAGGTTGATTTTGCCTCTGCATAAGGTGAACAATGACTTAGATGAATACGTATGTAAAGTGCATGTGTTGATGGGATCTCTGTGAAAAGTAAATATTAAATGCTCACATAAGAGGTATGACTCTGCAAGTAAATAAGTGCTGAGTTGGATGTGTATGTATAACCTATGTATTTGTATTAATTTCATCTCTGCACAAAGGAAATGCCGGGTCAGATGTGTGAACTGCAGTCGTTAATTTTTCCTCTACATATAATAAATTGTTATATCTACCTATAATAAATGATCGCCTCCGTATATAATGAGTAGTTGCCTCTACGTAAAATATATATTAACCTTGGTAACCATGTATAGGAAATACACAGTTCTTACGTGAGTTAAATATAGCTAAGTTGAATTTTGATATAAAAATCTGCATAAACGAATTGTTTGAACAGTCTGTCTAGCATCTACATATAATTACGCAGCATCAACGTGCAACATTTATAGTTTTATAGCTGAGCCTTAATCATGTAGTGCAGCACATTGGGACTTATGGTTATTAGGCTTCTCTTTGTTCAATTGGGACATTCCTTATTAAATCGTTTACAAGTCTACCTAAGGAAAATCACCTAACAAACCATAATTATAAAATGGTGTTGGCTAAGATGTATGTATAAGTATGTCCCTAGAAGAGAAGCAGAACTGCCGAATTCTCCCATGGTGTCACGTCATGTATAATGCAACAATCATTTTGTTACTCTTTCTTTATTATTCTTTCACTTCTAGACACCACTCCCTTGCTGCATGAAAGGAGTACAACTGGCCTTGTATTTAAGTTACACATAGGATCACTCCACTTACTCAATGCATGAAAAGGGTGTAGGTGGCTTCTTGTTTGTACTGCACATGTATTTCCCCACTGTTGGATTTGGTAATTAGGTGGCTGGACTGCATGCTCGTGTGCGTGCTAAGAGAGGACAGAACAGCGTTATTGCTCTATACTTTTACATCCCATAAATGCTACACCAGTACCCATTCTTCTATTCATTATAGCTTTCACGCTTCTTCAAAATTGTTAGCCGCTGCACGGTACTTGGAAAAAATTCCTTGTTAAACTCCACCTTGTAATTAATAGTAGAAACTCCCCTTGTTCTTTCAACGTAGTCTGAGTGATTGGGAAGGAGTGACAGTGCACGTCCATCTCATCACCATAATTCAAGCTACCAAACCTTTCACTAAGAAATTACTGAGACTGCATCAAGGCAATCATTTTTTTCTCTGCATCCTTCTCCCTGTATTATCAAAACCGAGCCACCATCCAGCACATTCTACCTCTCTTCAGCCGAGTTACATAATTAATAAATTTATCTTTCTAACGGCATATCTTGGGCTCAAATCTGTGCCCCTTCAAACACATAGAATATGTGAACACCTTTGTTTTTACGTTTATGCAGAAATACTATAAAGAAATAATTTTTATGCCCTCTGAATAGAGTTGTTTCAACCAAAACAAATTTTATTTTCATAAACTATATGAAAATAGCTTTCCAACAAATATTTTTATGTTAATTTTAGACTTCGTTACGATATGAATTACAAAAATAGTGCAAAGCTGATAAACCTGCGTGAACAGCAGTAAGTTTTGATTTTTCTGCACTTTTCTGTGCATCAAAATTTAATTTTTAAAAGCTGATTTTGATACTTAGGATCTTAGCTTTCTAAATAAATTTACGGATCGTGATTTGGACTTCGTTTGAAGTCGTTACACTTAATTTTATAAATATTGTACAAATATGAAGTTTTTTCGGTTTTCTACAATAAGTGCATGACTGTTTCTGAATTTTTAAAAATACTATCTCTTGGCCATTTTAACTCAGAATTCTGATAAACTCCTCTCTGAATTAGGAACACAACGAACCAAAAAATTTCAAATTCTGACATAGAGAAGTCCAAGAAAAAGAACCTGCGGACTACTTCACTCACCAAGATAAGGGGGGAGCCCATTATAAATTAAAAATCCGCTTAATACTTTTTCTTTGATAAAATCTATGGTATGAGCAATATAACATAAATTGAAACAATTTAACTAATAAGACCAAATATTTTTTACTTTTACCCTCAAATATGGTTAATGATGAACTTGAATCATGTGTATCAATTTCACTTCTGCATATTCGTAAATAGTGAACTTGGTGTATGTATGACTAGTATATGTTAATTCTGACTCTGCTTAAAAGTGTTTAATACATGAATATGGTGGTACTGACGTTGATGTGTTACGATTTTTACTCATGCATGTTACCAAATCTGAATCTAATGAATGTAGAATAAAGGTATTGAATTTGGGTATGACAGGTGAATTTATGTAAGCAGTATAATGTGTGTGTGTGTGTGTCAATTTTACTGCTATATAAAAGCCAATACAAAAGGAAACAAGTGTAAATAAGGTAATATTTAAATACTAACAACATCTGGGTGAATGAAGGAACATAATCACATGTGGTTGTCCTTGACTGAAATCACGAGATTACACTTTAAGGACGATATTAAATCTTTAAGTTACTAGTAACGTATGTGCCAGAGTAATTGACTTCTTGATATCTGTTAATTGCAGTAAAAACAAATAATTCTTTTCTCTTGAATATTACATTTTATGCATAAGTTCAGAATAGGAAGAGGAATAACATTTCTCTACTTCCTCCCTAAATAATGTTAAATCATAAACATAGCTAAAAAGGACCTAAAAAATGAATAAATCTCTCCGACTCCTGTTATTTAGTGTAATGAGGTGGGAGTACCTAAATTCTTGGTACAATGTTGTCTCATGTGCGTCAAAATGCCATTGCATCACAATTAGTGATAGTAGGAAGAGATTGAGAAACAGATGATGACTTCAACATACAAATAAATTAATTACATATGATGTTTTACTTCTGTGTAAAGAGGATGTATTGAATCATCCACTTTTACACGTATATACATATCCTTTATTTACATATTGCCTGAGATAGATGCGTGATTACTGATTCCAGTTTTGTATTGATGAGAATAAAAAGCATGTACATATGTTAACCTTACCTCCACATGTAGAATATATATTAATTTTGGATAAGTATATATATTAATATTCCCCTTGTGTCGGTCTAAACTAAATATTTACATGAAGACTTATAATTTTACTTATGCATGTGAGGATTAATATATATTAAGTACTGGTCTTCCTCTAATGACTAGTAAAAATTGAATAATAATAATAATATATATATATAGTCCACGTAAGCACAGAAAGGAAATATTGTACTATTTTGATGAGCAACGAACATGTATGTGTTTAACTTTATGAGATGTTAGACTAAAGTGAAACAAATTTGCAACCCCTATAAGTAAAGTATTGAGACTATATTTTTATACGACATAGTCGGATTAGAATATAATCTTGTAGGAAGAAAGAATACAAAATCACTTATTTCTTTACTTTCCCTAATATAGAACAAGGTTTCAGCACACGAGGTTAATAAAATAAATTGGAGAAAACTTGACAAATCAAATATAATATGTAATACATAGGTCCTACTCTAGGAAACTGATGCATGGGTAGCATAAATAGAAAGAATTGTCGAGGCTACAGTTGGCACAGTTGTGGGGCGCTTGTGTTAGGTTCATGGCTAACCTTGGGGGTAGTAAAGGAGGATGACCCAATGGCACAGAGTAGCTCAATGTGACTGGGTTACGTTGCTAGCAAACCCTTACCAATCCTGACGTGAACACCCGTTACCAGGGTCATGGTAGGTCCATTCTTGAATGGGACACCTTTAGCGTTTATTGTCGACAAAGTGATATATGATTTTAATGTGCTTGGATGTGAAGTAGGGAATGGAGTCCTCCGACTACCTCTGACATTAAACAATTATGATGATGATATTGTAAGTGATTGAGATCCCCATACATCACATCATGAGACTAAACAAGAGAGAAACTCATAAATGACTTGCATCATGCATCATCCTGCATACGTGACTGTTACCCAATGATGAATTGTTGAGGTAGAAAGATTGTGAATGTACATCTTGAATTATTGTATGGCTTAATTGTTTTAATTGAGTATATGGACTCACCCTCTTGTGTGTTTTGTACTTTTTTTTTTCTTTGGTTGTTTGTTTGTTGCATGTGTGGGTGTGTGCAGATAAACCGAGACTTAATCGAGGTATAGATCTTACTATTAGAAGAGGACACGTGGCTCTACAATCTAGCCTAGCGATAGTGTGCCTTTTGTGTGATGATGACCTTGGGTCCAACTCATTGAGTCGTTGTTTAAGGCACATGGTCGAACTCCTTAGAGCAATGCACTACTTTTGTTTGAAATTCTAATGATTACTACCCTTATATAAATATAGGGTGAGAACTGCTCTTAGGGCTAAACAGAATTATTAAATATTTTGAGATATACTTTATGTACCATAATATTTTTGAGATATACTTTATGTACCATAATTCTGAACAAAGCGGCGGTAGTACCCGGTTAACCCCAAGAATCCCCTCAGATTGCGAATGTCCTTGGGTGCTGGCCATCAAGTCATAGCAGAAATTTTTGCAGGGTCAGCAGAGATTCCAGCCGAGGATATTATGTGCCCAAGATACTCCAGCTGTGACTCTCCAAAACTGCACTTCTTACCATTGATCCATAGCTCTTGGCTTCTTAGCACATGAAGAACTACACCCAAGTGATCAATATGGGAAGAGTAATCTGGGCTATACACTAAAATATCATCAAAAAAGACTAGTACGAATTTATGTAAATATGGTTTAAAAATCTGATTCATTAATGATTGAAACGTTGAGGAGATATTGGTTAACCCGAAAGGCATTACCATATACTCGTAGTGTCCTTCATGCATCCGAAAGGCTGTTTTAAGTATGTCCTCTGGCCTCATGCAGATTTGGTGGTAACCTGACTTCAGGTCGAGTTTAGAGAAGACTGTGGCTCCTCCCAGCTCATCTAACAGTTCTTCAATGACTGAGAAGGGGAAATTGTTTGGAATTGTGAGACTGTTAAGCGCACGGTAGTCCACACAAAAGTGCCAGCTACCATCCTTTTTCTTGACAAGAATCAGTGGGCTAGAATAGGGGCAGGTACTGAGTCTGATCAAGCCTACTACTAGCATATCCCTTACGAATTTTTCAATCTCCTCCTTGTGGCGATGAGGATGTCGGTAAGGGCGAATGTTAGGAATGGTAGCCCCCTTTTTCAAAACTACGGTGTGGTCACATTCCCTTGGGGGTGTGAGAGTTGTTCCCTCCTTAAACAACTCCCCAAACTCCCTCAATAGCTCCCTTATAGCCTCTGGAGCTGTCATTGCCACCTACGTGGTTAACTCTGTACATCCTAATGTGATCATGCCCAATTCTACATAATAAGCCTCAGCCTCCCCTTTTAACTCCTTTCTAATAGCCTTTAATGAAGCCACTATCCGTGCTAGTCTCACGTCCCCTTTCACCTCAATAGTTTTCCCATCCTTGTGCACCTCAATCAAATGCTGTCATAGGTCAGCACTAAATTCCCCTAAGCTCTTAAGTCATTCATACCCTAGAACCACATCCACCCCTCACCAAGTCAAACAAGAAAAAGTCCTGAATTACTTGTAAATTGGGTAATTCCAACACCACCCCCCTACAAACCCCGTGACTTCCCAACCTTTGCCCATCTCCCACTTCAACAAAGTACCCCTTTGTGGCCTCTGTGGGAATATTTAGCTCTTCTACCAAGCCCGGTGACAAGAAGTTGTGCGATGCCCACAAGTCCACCATCACGATTACCCTCTTACCCGAGATCAGTCCCCATAATTTCAGTGAGTTCTTCGAAGTCATACCAGCAATACTACTTGGGTTTAGTTGAAGATTTACTTCCTCTATTCGTCTTCCTCAGGAATGTTGCCCTGGGTAGCATTTTCTTCCCCCCAACAAAATGACGTGAAGCTGTTTGTTGCGGCATACATGGACGGGTGAAAATCATTAAACAGAGCCTCCTCCTTCTCTTTTTGTTTTCCTCCTCTTCGGTAAGCTGCTTGAACCCTAAGCCCCTTCGGTTTAAGCTCGTCATGGGGGAGTCACGTGAAATATTTCAATTTCCTTGAGTCTCGACAAGGCCTCCACTGGGGCGATTAGGAACCCTGGACCCGAAAGATGGGGTGGGTTCATTCCTTCTGGCCCAACTCTGATTAGGCGCGTATTAGGCTCCCCCCATTTCGGCCCAATATAGCTTATTACTCATTGACCCACTCCCTTTCAACACAAGCCCATATGAAAGGCCTAATACTCTATTTTTCTCTTCGACCTTCTGCACCATGTCCTTGAGAGTGCTCAAATCTCCAGAGTCTCTCAACCTTACTTCTGCTTTAATCTCTTCCTTCAAACTGTTAAGGAAAGCCCCAATCATAAATTCTTCATCAACGAAACAGAGCGGAGCAGAAAATAGCTCCAATTGTTCCCTGTACTCCAAAACTGTTCCCTTTGTTTCAATCTCATTAAGGCTTCGTATGGGTTCTCCGATGATAATGACCGAAAACGCCCCAACAAAGCCTGTCAGAACGCAGGCCATGAGATCATCAAAACTCACTATTCCCACCATTGGTACCAGTTGAGCGCCTTTCCCTCCAAACACACCACTACAGTATCCACCTTCTCTGCTTCGGGAATGCTATTAATTTCAAAGTACCGCTCTACCCTGTACACCCATCCATATGGGTCATCCCCTGCGAAGTAAGGCACTTCCACTTGCTTCACTTGTTCCTCCCTCCTCCAAGCTCGCCCTCACCATTGGCACCCCCTCTGGTTATTGTTCTCACCTTCCTTCTTCGCCCTCACCACTTGTAAGGCTGATTCGAACCTGGCGGTCATCACTGTCATCATTTCATCCATCTGCCTCCTAAACTCCTCCTGCATAGCAACCTGCAGGCCCTCCAACCTTCATTGGGCGTTTTCTAATCGATTCTCCATTCGAGTCGATACCATCAGGTGCTCCCAGGATCGGGAGCTCTAATACCAACTTGATAGGAACTGAGTGTATTTATGGAATTAACACCGTAGCATCAGGGAACTCCCTGGTAATACAGCATAATAATGATGAAATGGAAACTTCTCCTAGGCAGCAACCACCTCCCAATTACTTCCCAGATATTTCCTACCTCTTTACTCTGATCAATACTTATATCCCTCCCTCAGCCGCTCTCTCCCTCCTCCACATCATTCAATTTGTTAGTCAATTAATCTTCCCTAACAGCCTCCCTGTCCACAATCCCCTTTTTATCCCTCCTTCGCTGGTATGTTTTTAGTAGAGGCCCAATTGGCTTGGACCCAACGATATCTATGTTGAAAAATTAGTTCTTAAACAGTGAGATTATGATGTTCATGCCCCTAAATCATGGGCATCCAATTCTTCGTGTTGACCAGAGAAGGAAAAGAAGCACAGAAGCAAGAGGCAATTGATTTTGAGAAGTCTAACAGAATGGACAGGTAGCAAAAAGATATTGGAGAAGGGGGTATGATAGGCAAGGGGAGGCAGGATACTATGGAGGTAGCTGGATTGGGGGGGGGGGACGGCTATTCAACCAGTGAGGGGAATTTAAGAGGATTAGGTCCATCTTTGCTCTCCTACTATTTTTTCTGTATTCCTAACTACACTTCTTCTTATAAGGCTACAACACCAGTATGGATACCCGTTCCTATCATGGTACTACCAAGGTAATATAACCAAAGAAGTTTGGATGTTAACTATTATTTGAAAAATCAAAAAGTTCAACAATAATTCAAGAACAGTTAAAATAACAACTTTGAGCCAACTTGGATAAACTTCTCAATTTAATAAGTTAAGTTTAATTTATGCAACTTCACTTTGCAGAAGCTTCCTCGTTTAACTTTTCCATAAATGCTTGTTGAAAAGTTTATACAAATTGACTTCTATTTTCTTTTCAATTAACAAGTATACAAACAAGAAACTTACATTTGGTGAATTACGGCGTGTTGTAGCTGTTACAAGAACTATACCACGTTCATTATCATAAACAGGGGGCTTCCATTCAGCAAGCACTGCATATTTTAAGAATGACCAATTTCAGAAAAATATGCCATATCCATTTGAAAAGCCAAATTGTTGAGTTATGGAACAATTTAGGTAGCTTGTACAAGAAAAATAAAATAAAAAAAAATATTGTTCAGCATAACTCCGCAAACAACTGAAGCATTCTTCCATTACCAAAATGCTTTCATAGTAAATAGGTTCAAAACTTAAAAGCATTATTTCCAATACTTTGGTTCTTAACCATATCTATTCTTGTTTAGCCATCAGCCAACATAGCATTCTCATCTTAACAATACTTATGCTCTTGTTAGCACTTTGCCAAATAGCATTCTGTTCTATAAAACATCCCATAATCTTGTAATTGTGCAGTGAAATTTTCCCTTTAGATTGGGACACCGTTTTAATCACAAATAACACATGAAGCATTCCTCTATTTCATCCACATAGTTTGGATCCTATATTTTACAGCTCTCTCTATCTCTCAGTCACTTTTTATGATAGATCACAAATATCATTCCCATTAAAAAATGGACACCATAAAATAAATACTGTTACCCCCTTCTATTTCTGTTTCTGTCATCTCTCTCTGAAAAACTTAGAATCCATTTCTAGGTTCCTAACAGATATAGATATATTCTTTCAATAGTAGAAATATTTTGGTACCAGCATCATTGATATTTAGTGAAAGAATAGGAAGTTACCAATTAATGTGCATCCATACAGATTTAATGCGGGGCTCATCCCAGAAGTAACCTGGAGAAGAAAATATGTTTTTGTCAGTTAAAAGACAGTGTGCTCTATAGAATTACAAACAACTTATGGTTTCGTGACTAAGGTTGCAAATGGTATAAAATATAGTCACCATTAATGAAACACGTTATCATTCAGCATATTGCATATTTACTATGGGTTCATCGATAACCCTTACCAGCAGAAAAAAAGTTACTTAAGAGCACAGCAAGTTTCATTGGTCTCATTAACCAAAAAACTCAGATTATTATCTATGGATATAATTCTCATTCAATAGGGCTTTGAATGGACTTATTTGTATCTTTTTATTGTTATTATGTTTTCATGTCAATTATTTAAGACTATAAAATTAAGAAACGTGTTCACAGGATTTTTCTGTTCATATATTTTATGCTAAAATCCTGGTAGTCTTAACCATATAATGCTGGCCATTTCTAAGTCAATGATGAATAAAATAGAACTTCTGAATCATTAGCAACAAAAAAAAAAAATACATAACTGAAATGATGAAAGAGAATGTGAGAGATTAAAACCTTCTTTCCTCGTGTTAGAGAAAGTCGAATATGGGAATTGTCAAACATTCCATTCCTAATCAGGGTTTTGAAAATAGCTTCTTTAATCTGCAATTTGTTACAACCATATTCATCATTATGTAAAAACTAAACAAGAAAGACCAAAGACAAAATAAGCTCTTTGTTTTTCAGTAAGATCCACATCAGACAGAGTCTATTTGGATATAAAAAATAAGTAGGCATTTTGAGTGAAATATGATAGAAGAACACAAGGCATCTTCAGGCTCACCTCGTCTCGAGTTGGAACATTTTCAAAAGCCAAAGCTTTTGCTGAATCAAACATCCTGATGAGAAGCATAAAATGTAGAGATCAACCACATTGATGCAGACCTTATGTTTTTACCATGATCAACAAACAAGTTCAATTGAACTAATAAGAAATGAAACTAACATAGATAACCAAAAAACATCCACTTGTTTATGATGGAACCCAAACCCCGCAATGAAGGCCTCTTGGATGCAAGTTTGACGAAGCCCACGGTTTGGCAGGTTTATTCCCGTAAGAAGAAATCCAATAATTAGTAACAAGGGCTTATTAAGAAGTTAGTGAGGATTTTCAATAAGATAAGCTTATTAGGAAGTTAGTTAGGATTTTGAATAAGATAAGCTTGGGATAGTTTGTTATAAGAGATAAGGATAAGATTAGTTTAACTATTCTTTATTTAAGCAGTCAGTTTTGGTTATTAGGGGGAGTTTTTGGTTTTCTTTGAATAAGAGAATGGAGAATTTCATTTTTTGGGAGGACCTACCGCTCTAGGGGATTCTTGTAATCCTAGTTCTACAAGTAATTAATAAAAGTTTTGTTTCTTTCTTTAATCCTCTCTGAATTTCGTCTCTGGACCTTAACAATTGGTCTGACCTGCCGGATTATCCTTCCATGCACACGAGATTGACAAAAAAGATAGAAGCACTAGATGCGAGAATTCAGAGCATGGAGACTGCCTTTGCAGATTATCGAGCATTGATGAGGGAAGAAATGAAAGAGAGAGATTGTTATGTTCACCAGAAAAAGAGGGTAGAAAGAAACAATCTTTATGAATTCTTTATTGAATTGATGAATATTGTGTATACAATTCTGTTTCCCAAAGCAAAGCTCCTCAGAGAATTTTCTCTGCCTAATTTCAGAAACTACTTTTTAAAAAGAGACCCCTCACTATTCTCGCAGCTATTATTTATAACTGGCCTTAAAACAGAAAACTAACTTCTAGCTGTTACTGTTAACTGCTAATTAACATTATTAACTGTCCTCTTTCTTCTAGAGTACACCAGCCAAGGTTTGGCTTTGTCTAAGTTAGTATTTACGAAGATATTAGGGTTAGGACCCTGACTCCTATCATTCTCCCCTTCTAGAAGAGTAGACTTGGCTTCAAGTCTGAAGTGAGGAAATTGGCTCAGCAGCACAGCTTCATCTTCTGAAGTAGTATCCTCTAGAGGACAGTGCTTCCACTTGATCAGCCATTGTTTGCAAGGCGTGTTGTCCTTAGTAACTTCTCTTTGGGCTAGAGCAGCTTCGGGTTCAATTGTGGCTTCAAGTTCAACTTCAAATCCTCTAGGTAGATCAGGAGAGGTAGTGTAGTTACCAATGGCCTTTTTTAACTGAGAAACATGAAATACCGGATGCACTCTTGAAGTTTCAGGCAGCTGTAGCTTATAAGCTACCTCACCAATTTTCTGCAAAATCTTGTAGGGCCCATAGAACCTAGCAGCAAGTTTAGGATTGATCCTGCGGACCACTGTTTGCTGCCTGTGGGGACACAGTTTTAAGAAAACAAACTCTCTAACTTCAAAAGATATAGGTCTTCTTTTCTTGTCAGCAAAATGCTTCATTTGCTGCTGAGCCTTGTGCAAGTTAAACTTCAATTGAGAAAGAGCTTCATCACGGTCTAGTAGATCACTGGCTACCGGTTGTACCTTTGTTTCTCCAAGAAGGAACCGGGCAAGTCTTGGAGGAGGCCTGCCATACACAATTTCAAATGGAGTAGCAGCTGCAGCAGTGTGGAAGGATGTGTTATACCAGAATTCAGCCCAATGCACCTATAGGGACCAGTTCCTTGGCTGTTCAGAGGCAAAGCACCTTAAATATGTCTCAAGACACCTATTTAGAACCTCTGTTTGACCATCCGTTTCAGGATGATAAGAAGAACTCATATTTAGCTTAGTCCCCTGTAATCTGAAGAGCTCTTTCCAAAAAGAGCTGATTAAGAGTGGGTCCCTGTCACTCACAATTGAAGAGGGAATGCCATGTAAACAAACTATTTCTTTAGCAAAAATCTCAGCTACTGTTCTTGCTATATAGGGATGTTTAAGCAGTATGAAATGCCCATATTTGGACAACCTGTCTACTACTACCAAAACTGCCTCATAGCCTTTAGATTTCAGAAGCCCTGTAATGAAGTCCAATGAAATAGCATCCCATACCAAAGAAGGAATAGGTAGGGGCTGAAGTAAACCTCCTAGGTAAGTAGCTGCATACTTTTGTCTTTGGTAGATATCACAACTTCTGATAAACTCCAGGATTCTCTTTTTCATGCCCACCCAGTAAATATTTTGAGCAATCCTCCTATAAGTTTTTAGAAAACCTGAATGTCCACCCTCCAGAGAAGCATGGAATTCTTCCAAGAATTGAGGAATGTAAGAGGAAGTAGAAGGTATAACTATGCTCCCTTTCTGTTTTAGGTCAGCAAGCTCTCCGAAAGGATCCTCCAAACGCCCCCCTCCAAAACGTAATCGCAGCGCATTTTTGAAAGATTCCCAGCTGGGAACAGTCTCAGAATCAAGCCAAGTTTGGAACCAGTACATTGTTCCTCCCTCCATGCTCAATCTTGCAAGTTTAATCTTGTTGGAGTCCGATATTCCTTGAACTTCAAAATATGTTTCAGCCCTCGTGATCCATCCCCTTGGATCAGTCCCATTGAATGATGGCAGTTCCACTTTCTTTGCCATCAAACAAAACTCATTTAACACATCAGCATCCGCATTATGCGATGTTTCCTGTTCTTCAGCACATGAATTACTTTGTCCTAGATTCTGTCCCAACGTATCATCATGTTTGGCAATGAAGTTCTGAACCAAATCTTCAAGACCTCCCAATCAGCTTTTCCATGAATACATCCAATCTTTCCTCCAAGGAATTCATTCTTTCCTCAACAGCATCACTGCGTTGACCTTCATTTGCACCACGCTTCGTCATCTTGAAATTTCTTGCTGGACCACACCTTTTTGTTTCTCCCCCAAGGATCCGGCAAGTCGAACCAATGTTATGTTCACCAGAAAAAGAGGGTAGAAAGAATTAATCTTTATGAATTCTTTATTGAATTGATGAATATTGTGTATACAATTCTGTTTCCCAGAGCAAAGCTCCTCAGAGAATTTTCTCTGCCTAATTTCAGAAACTACTTTTCAAAAAGAGACCCCTCACTATTCTCGCAGCTATTATTTATAACTGGCCTTAAAACAGAAAACTAACTCCTAGCTGTTACTGTTAACTGCTAACTGTTAACTAACATTATTAACTGTCCTCTTTCTTCTAGAGTACACCAGCCAAGGTTTGGCTTTGTCTAAGTTAGTATTTACAAAGATATTAGGGTTAGGAGCCTGACTCCTATCAGAGATAAATGGGGATGATTACTGAGCCTCAATCAAGAAGGTCGAACTGCCTCAATTTGATGAGGTGGACCCCATTGGTTGGATTTGCAGGGCTGAAACTTATTTCAATGCCCATTGTACTTTGGACGAGATGAAAATTTGTCTCTCAAAATTGAGTATGGGTGGTAATACAATTCATTGGTTTAATCTGTGGAGAGACAAGGAAGGCGTGCCACATGGGAGCGCTTGAAGAGGTCTATGGTAACAAGGTTTGGGATCGGGAGGTTTGGAAACTCCGGAAGTCAAGAACAAGGGCAATTATGCGCTTACGTCTTCAGGGAATCACTCGTTTAATAGAGACCGAAGTATTATACCTTTTGTTCGCAATAACAAGGAGAGGATGGTGTGGTCGTGGCTATTGCAGCGGAAGAAGACGAAGGTGATGTTTTGATAGAGTGCAATACTATTGGGCTGTTGGGCCTTTGCCAAGTTGGACCGCAACATGTTGGCACCTTTAAGTGGGAAGGGAATTTAGGCCACATCCCAGACTTGGTCCTTGTTGACAGTGGGGCTAGTGAAAATTTCATAAGCTCGACAATAGTTACTTCTCTTAGGCTCAACACGGATTTAGGTCCTAGCATCCAGGTTATGACTCGGGGTAAATGCTCCCAAATTCCATTATAGGTCGGAACCATAAAAATGGCAGTGGATGCGCATATCCTTGACTTGGGAGGAATAGACTTAATCCTTGAGGTGGCGTGGTTGAGAACATTCGGAACAGTTACTATTGACTAGAGCTGCATGTCCATGTCTTTCCAATGGCAAGGGAGAACCGTGGAACTTCGAAGAGTTCACGCGCAAGAGAGAAAGGCGTCATGGCAACAACCGTTGCTACACAACTTGGTTGAGGAACGATTATTGGGACTCGAGGGTTTGGCATGGCAGTATGGGGCATCTACGGAGGAGCTAGAGTAACCTTTTCTTTTGTCATCACAAATTAGGGAGATTACATTGGTGCTTGACCAACATGCACATTTTTCGAGAGCCAACAGGGCTTCTACCAGTCCAAGGCGTGGAGCACGCTATCATTCTCAAGGATAGAGCTGGGCCTATTAGCGTAAGACCGTACCGATATCCCCTCCGCTACAAGGATGAGATTGAGCGTCAAGTGAAAGACTTGCTAGCATAGGGAATTATTCGGCCAAGCTATAGTCCTTTTCCGAAGAAGGATAACAATTGGTGTATATGTATTGACTACCGTGCCTTGAATGCCTTGATGGTTGCCAACAAGTTTCCAATTCTGATGGTTGACAAATGCTCGATGAATTGTATGGCTCCCGCTACTTCTTCAAACTTGACCTTAAGTTGGGGTATCACCAAATCCATACGCAGGATGAGGACAATCATAAGACCGCATTTCGCACTCATGAGGGCCATTATGAGTACCTCGTGACGTCCTTCAGGTTGATAAACGTTTCTTCTACCTTCAAATCAACAATGAACTTGATCTTTAGGTCGTTTCTACGAAAATTCATATTGGTATTCTTTGACGATGTATTGGTGTACAGCAGGGACTGGAACTCACACTTGAAGCATCTGACCTTGGTCCTTCAAACCCTACAGGCTAATCAGTTTGTCACTAATATGAAGAAATATTGCTTTGGAAGGGCACAGGTTGAGTACTTGGGCCATGTTGTGTCGGCTGCAGGGTGCATGTTGATCCTAGCAAGGTCCGAAGTGTTCTAGCTTGGCCTATCCCTTGAAGTGTTAAAGGGATACGCGATTTCTTAGGACTCACAAGATACTATCATAAGTTCATCCAAAATTACGGGAATATGGTGCAGTCCCTAACAGAGTTGACCCGCAATGATGGCTTTAGGTGGGGAACTGAGGCTGAGAAGGCTTTTCAAGACCTAAAGACCGCTATCAGCACAGCCCCTGTTTTAACCTTGCCAAACTTTGGGGAAATATTCAAAGTAGAATGTGACGCTTTAGGCAGAGGAATTGGAGCAATGTTGATGCAACAACAGAAGCCCATTACTTTCTTTAGTAAATCTCTATCGGATGCCCATTTGTCCAAGTTGGTTTATAAAAAAGAGTTGATGGCAATTGTCCTTACTACCCAACACTAGAGGTCCTTGCTATCCAACACTAGAGGCAGTATCTATTGGGGAGGGAATTCCTTGTGCTTATGGACCAAAAGTGTCGTAAATATATCTTGCAGCAGGGGTAGTTTCAGCCAATCAACAGTGCTAGCTTGCAAAATTGATAGGCTATCGTTTCGAAATCATTTATAAATCGAGATCCACCAATAGAGCTGCAGATGTGTTGTCAAGGTGGCTCGATGATGGGAACTTACTACAATTGCATCTTTTCCAGTATGGGAGTAGCAACAAGATTTGCAAGATGAGATTTCAGGGGACTCTCATCTGCAGCAAATTGTCACTACTTTGGAGGAGGATCCGGATGCCAAACACGAGTACTCATTGGTAGGAGGAGTCCTGAAATACAAAGGGTGTTTAGTAATTCCAGCTTCTTCCTCCTTGATTCCCCAACTGCTGTATGAATTTCACGCTTCTTCCATCAGGGGCCATTCCAGGTTTCTACGAACCTACAAGCGCTTAACAGCAAATCTATATTAGGTCGGTATGAAGAAGCATGTGCAAAAATTTGTCCAGGAATGTGAGATCTATCAAAGAAATAAGTATGAGGCTGAAGCTCCTAGTAGATTACTCCAACCCCTCCCAATTCCCTCTCAAGTGTGGGAGGACATTTCCTTGGATTTCATAGTCGGATTACCACAGTCATTAGGTGTTGATGCAATACTGGCTGTGGTGGATCGTCTCTCTAAATATGCATATCTTATCCTTATGGAGCATCCCTACACAACTAGAAGGGTAGCCAAAAATTTTTTCAAGGAGGTCGTTCCACTACATGGGTTGCTGGCATCCATACTTAGTGACTGTGATCCAATATTTCTGAGCACTATTTCGAAAAAGTTATTTGCGTTGCAAGGAACACAGCTACGTATGAGCTCAGCTTACCAGCCGCAAATAGATAGTCAAACCGAGATAGTAAACTGGTGTTTGGAAACATATCTCTCCTGTTTTCCATCGGAGCAGCCCAAAAACTGGACCCATTAAGTCCCTTGGGCTGATTTATCACTCCTCAGCTGGGACCACTCCTTTCGAAGTAGTGTATGGGAGGAAGCCTCCGGTAGTTCCTAGACTGATTGAAGGAGAGATGCGGGTCGAGGCTGTGGCACATGACCTTCAGGACCGAGATGAGACCCTGCGACAATTGCACTTCCATTTAGAACAGGCCCAGCAGCATATGAAGTGTTTTGCAGACCGCCATCGGAGGGAGATGAAGCTGAAAGTTGGAGATTGGGTTTTCCTCAAATTGAGGCCCCATAGGCAATAATTTGTGATCCGCAGGATCAATCAAAAGAATTTCACAAGGTATTTTGGGCCCTTCCAGATTTTGCAACGTGTAAGAGAGGTATCGTACAAGCTTTCTCTTCCAGCCTCTTCAAAGTTCCATCTGGTTTTCCACATTTCGCAACTTAAGAAGGCCATACGATAGAAGATTGCATCTGCCACCTTACTAGAGGAGTTAATGATAGAAGAAGGAACCAGAAGCTGTTTTGGCTACTCGAATTGTTACCCAAGGTGGTCAACGGAAAAAACTGATAATGGTACAGTAGAAAGGGTCTACTGTAGAGGAAGCTACTTGGGAAGAGGCATTGGTCATCAAGAGTCAATTTCCTTCCTTCACTCCTGAGGACAAGAGTGGAAGTTCTAGGGGTGGTATTGATGGGACCCAAACCCACAATGAAGGCCTCTTGGATGTAAGTCCAACGAAGTCCATGAGTTGGCGGGTTTATTCCCATTAGAAGAAATCCAATAATCAGTAACAAGGGCTTATTAGGAAGTTAGTGAGGATTTTGAATAAGATAAGCTTATTAGGAAGTTAGTTAGGATGTTGAATAAGATAAGCTTGGGATAGTTTGTTAGAAGAAATATGGATTAGATTAGTTTAGCTATTCTTTATTTAAGCAGTCAGTTTTGGTTATTAGGGGGAGTTTTTGGTTTTCTTTGAATAAGAGAACAAAGAATTTCATTCTCTGGGAGGAACTATTGCTGTGGGGGATTCTTGAAATCATAGTTCTGCAAGTAATTAATAAAAGTTCTGTTTTCTTCTTTAACCCTATCTGAATTTCATCTCTAGACCCTAACAGTATTAGTCTAGACTGAATCAGAAATGCACACACAGAGTTTTCCTCGATAAAAATTTGTTCTTTTTATTGTGATGTAACTATTTAGTTTGGTTGAGAAATGCTCAATAATTTTTTTTAAAGAAAATCGGAGCATAGTGGAGCAGATTTTTCTTACATCAATCACAAATTGTTTATAAAAATTCTCCAAAATTTGAGTACGAGAAATGCTGTCATTCAACCATTTGTACCATTGAAGCCCATAGAAGTGATTTGGCATCATATCCACAAAAGATGGAATGCTGCAGATTGAAAGTAAAGGGACAAGAAACTTTGATATCTAACACAAGTTGGTTTGCTGTGGTTTGTTATTTTTGGATGAAATAGCATTACTCAATGAAAAATGAGACTATAAAGAGATTTTTCATATATATATATATATATATAAAGGTTAAATTCATTAATACGAAAATGTTAAAAAGAGAAAGGGTTGATAAGGACTCCTCCTTGACAAAAGAACAAAACAGAAAATGATAGAGAAAAAAGAGAAAACCAATGCAGAAAAACTGTTCAACCCCTCAAAAAGGCCAAACCTCCTTAAAAATATAAGTTAAAACTCCAACCAAATACACCAACAAGTGGCAGGTTGCAGTTTGCTGTAAAAAGTTTGCCTCTACTTCTACCAAAGCCATGAAAGCTAATCATAAAATAAGGTTGTACTAATCATACTAATTTAATATATAGATTATACTACATCAACCATTCAATCTATACATGTTTAGTTAATCAGCTATCAGTTTATGACATTATTGAATAAAATGAGAGCATCCAGCATCCACTTTCTATTTCCCAAGTTTGCACTGTTACCTGTCTAGATGTTCCTCAAGCTTAAATATCTTTCCATTATACACACGAAGACCCTCCCAAACTGAATCACCTCCTTGGACAACTGAATCAAACACAGAAACCTGAAACATCACACGATATCAATTAAAAAACATGAGAATGTGAGCATCAATCACATAAATCAGATGCCTTATTCTACTCACAGGAGACCATAAAATGTTGTACGAAAAGTACCTTTGCACTCTCACGTGGCAAAATCTCATCACCAACCCAGGCAAACAATTTCTCATTTGCGGGAACTGGAAGATCCGGAGGAGGTAATGGAGGACCTAGAAGGGAGGACTTCTTCACGTGGCGCCGAAGCATATTGTACAAGGGTAGACTTTGCTCCAACAAATCATACAGAGAAAAGGGAAATGGCTGAAAAGGGAAAAAGAATACAGCATAAACTCATCCAGGATTTTTTACCTGAACTCCAATCAGAGTATCTTCCACAACCCCCCGAAAAAAGAAGAAAAAAAACAGACCTCTTGTCTTCAACTCTTCATTTTCATATGGAATTTAGTCTTTAACAATGAAAGAAATCATAAAGCTAGCTATAAAATGCCAAGCATGTATCCATCTAAGATGATATAGAACTATACTAGTTATGGACAATGGTGCAAACAAAGGGAAAAAAAATAATTACTACAAACAAAATAATGGGCCTGGACACCACGCAACAGGAACTAAACTGAAGGCACACCACAAAACAGCTGCATACCTGAGGATACTTCCTTTCTTCTTTAAAACCAGTAGATTTATGTACATTTTTATACCACCAAGGGGCCCACAAGCCATCTATAGGTTTTGGACCCGCTTCCCAACTGGAAAGTTCAAGAGAATTGTCACTTCTCATGTATGTATGTAAGCATAAAACTTGCCGCAGGAGTTGTTAACAAGAAAACATTGAAAAAGATAGACGAGAAACAATAGCAGCACATAAAAATATTTCAAAATGAAAACTCTGCATACTTGAGCATTGCAGGTTGAAAAGGAATCTCCAAATCATTGCAGAGAGCCCGTAGAGTTGCCTGCAAATTAGTAAGATAATAAATTGATGCAAAATTTTAAATAGAATTTAGGTTTGCGTATAAGTGTAACCACCTATTTGATGTATCCCCCCAGCAAACATAAAACTTAACTGAAATTTATAGAAAAGAGAAAAATTATTTACAAAACATGTTGAAAGAACATCTTGACCTGCTTTGATAGAGTTTCACTGACATAATTGATGAGCTTTCAAATTGTATTTTCTGATCTAAAAGATGTTACGCATATCTTTTAGGACAAATGATTCCAGGTCTAACATTACAATTGAGATTTCAAAGTCAAACAAGGGTCTAGACAGCAACTAACATACAACAAAAATTCCTTTATATTAGTACTACACAAATGCACAGCAACAGTAGTAACAAATCTCGGCTAGAACCATGGTATTCACATTTCAAAGCCATTAAAATTATCCCATTCTCATTCCCACTTCCTTTCATCTCATTCTACTGAACCTAACATGACCTTATTTCATACTTCATTAAGAATTACGCATGTTCATTGAGCTCACATACCTCAGGATCTTGTTGAAGTTCTGCAGCATCAATAACAGGTGGTGCTTTTCCATGCTCGCAAAGTTCATTGTAGATACAAACCAGCTCGGCCAAACCCAACTCAAAGAAAGAGGAAGGGACAACCTCTTCAAAGGATGGCTGGAAGCACACAATCACATGCAAAACATACAACCACCATCAGCCATTGACCCAATGAATAGTAAAACCAAGGAAAGTGATCACATGATATATGCAGAACACTGTAACAAGAAGTTCATGGTTTAGATGTAAGTTCACTAATGTAAGTGCATGTCACCAAACAATTTTTAATGCAGACAGATCCATATGGTTTAGATGAAGACTGCAAAGCATATGAGAAACAGTATATACAGCACTAGCCTTTCGATACAGAGATAAACGAGCAAACAAACAGAAGACCTCTTGCTTTTTCTTTTTCATAAAAATGAAAAACAACTCACCAATATGTCAAGAGGATTTCTTATCAGAATGAAGTGCTTTCCTTTCTTCATTAAATCCTCTGGCAATCCCCGTACCCTCTGTTTCGATATATGCTGAATACAACATCATCGTAACAACAATGACTAGTTAGCTATCAAACTATAGCCATGAAGGCATTGGATTCCTTCTCTATAGACTTGTCTTTTAACAAACAAAATTAAGATAAAGGAGATGCTGTTTACCTTGCAGAATCTGTATTTCTTGTTTCCTGGACGATAAACAATGTCCTTAACGACCTTGTTTCCATCATATTCCTGTTAGAATGGAAGCAACAACAAACATTAGGATTGAGGAATATTATCGAGTAATTGAGAAGAGATAGATACCATTTTGGAGAGGAGTTGGTCCCTGTAGGGTCTATCGACACCACTGAATCGAAGGAAATTAGCATAGAGTGGTTCATCAAGCACTTCAACGTCATCCCTCTAAATACAGTTAGCAACAGATGAAAGAATCTATGAAAGAAAGAGCGAATGATAGTTGAATCAGCGACAGTGAGAGTGATAGTGATACTGATACCTGTGCGAAAGAATACATGAGAGGGGTATCGAGAGACGTTGGAGCAGACCATGAGTGAATCACCTCTACTCCATGCACACTCTCCGCCATCTTCAATTTCAGAGACTAATCAGTACCGTGATGCTATACAGTTCAGAAATAACTAGACACACCTCTTAATCTCACCTTTTATTAATATTAATTATATAATAAAACTGTTTTTGACGCACGCGACCTACCTATGATTCGCTATTGATTAATTAAAAATACAATACTGTGAGCAGCTAAAGCAGTGTTTGGAAATGAGCAGCAGTGTGGAAAGTCAAAACTCAACATATAACCGTTAGGAGTGCCCGCGCAATAACATGCTGGCAGCTTCTGTTATTTTTCTTGAGTCAAATGGTGTTTGGAGTAACGAGTATATAAAATGGTAATTCTTGATATTTTCTGGGTTTTTTTTTTTCCTTCTGCTGGCACAAATTACTGAAGTATTGTCTTAGAATTGCGAATTATCTTATTAACATGATTTTGTTGAAAGAGACAAACAAATGAAAAAGAAAAATAAAAAAGGAACATTTGAAATGTAACATCCTAAAAAAAAATGAGTGTTTTTAGATTAAGTAAGAATGGATTAACACTCATTCAAGCAAAAAATCTATTGTTCAAGCAAAATTTAGTGATAGAAATGGATAGCTCTTTTGAAGTATTTTTGCTCAAGCAAAAACATTAGTAAAAGAGTAGTAAATTTTGTCTAATTTTCTCGCTCAAGTGAAAGTTATCAAGAAAAAAAATATTTAAGCGACTCTGGTATTTTAAAAACGTAGATTTTAAAACAAATAATCATTCTCATCTCTCTTTGTTCTCTCACTCTCTCCCGCAACTAAAATACCTCCAAACTCCAAAACCTCTCTCAAATCCAAGCTTGGATAGCTTTTTTTCTTGATTCTAAGTAAGTTATTGAAGTTTAATCTTCCAAGCTCACTTCTATTTCATTATTTTCCTTCTCAAAAGTTGTTCAACTTTGTAATGCTTAGGAAGAACTTAGTCTTTTGGATAATATCTTCCATCGAAAAGTTGCACATTTCCTTTGAATCTCAGGAACAACTTGGTCTTAGAGACGTCATCTCTCATCTCCTCGTTGTGAAAGACTTATTTTCAGGTAAGGAAAGTTGATCCTGAATCTTAAGTCCTTTCTATGCGTTTTTATCTTGAAAAACTTAAAATACCCTGTTTTGAATAGTAGATCTATAAATTTTCTTTAAATTATAATGTCAAAATTGGACTCTTTGGGTATAAAAACCTATTGTTGGTACAAGATTCACCTAAAACAGAATTTTATAGTAAAGATTAAGAGTAAAACAAGTTTTAAGAAGTTTTTATAATTTTTACTATTTATTATTATGTATGTAAAGTTAATAACAATACTTGTATTGGAAAATACTAAACTTTAGGATAAGTGATTTTCATTAAAAGCAGAAGAGTGTGATCTCCAGCAACGTATCTATGGTATGTGATTTATTTTCAATATACTTTTAAATTATATGATTGGGTTGAGTCTGAAGGTGTCCAACCTTCAGCATAGTGTATTAATTTGTGTGATGTAAAATTGATTGCATGTGAGAGAAAATTATAAAAAGACTGTTGGTGTAAATAGTTATGAATGTGGATTTAGAGTTGCTTATGTTATCAAAATATATAGAATTGTTGAGAAAATATGTGTCATGAAAGAGTGATGCATGGATAGTTATAGAGATACACTTGAAGTATGAAATTCAAAGATGATTTGAAAAATATAAAAAAAAATGAAAGTGGTGAATGTTGGTTGTAGTAGGTGCACATAAGTTACTAAAAGTGAAAGCATCATAAACCTTATACTCATTTTATAACTAGACTTTTGATTATACCTTTGCTAATATGCTGTATAACACACACGTTGTATTCATTTATGGTGGCTATCCGACAACTATCAATGTTCGCGTAAGTCTTTCATGATTAGAGAAAGAATGTTGGCAACAATTTAAGAGCCCATAAGTACTGATAAACGATAGATCCATCGAAATTGAAATGATCTAAGTGGCATGAATTCAAGAATTATATAATCGGATTTGGCTGAGTGTGAAATTTTGTGTCTTGGTGACTTCTAAATGAAAATTTATAAATAAGTTGTTCTTATTTTGGCGCATACTATATTAAATAAGATTTATGTATCATTTGATTATTTAATAAAATAAAAATTTAATGGGATAGAGAACACTCAACCTTACAATTATTTTTAGGTAATGAAAATAAAAAAATAAAGAAAATAAATTAGAATAATATGATCAATGAATAATGATTCATTTTAGGATCATATTTTCAATTGTGTTGGAAGAAAAGATTTGTTTTGTTAAGACTTAAATTATTTTAATTTTTGTGATAATTTTTTTAGTCCTAATTAAAATAGTATGTACCTATTTTAAATGTCAATTTTTAGAATATATAATTATTTTGATAAATCTTATTGTAAATAATAAACTAAAATATATTTATAATATTTAATAAGTAATTATTTTACTAGAAATTTACGTTCGACTCTAGTATTTAAATTGTGAAAATTAATTTTTATTTTTATTATAAATAAGAATAAAGTTTTAAAAATTTTACTAATCTTAGATTTATATAAATATAAATTTTTCTAAAATCATTCATATTTTTATTTATTTTAATTAAATTTTATTAAAAATTATATATAAAATAAAAAAAACAGTTAAAAGAGAAATAGCGTAGAAAAACAACGTTAATGAAATGTGTGATGCGGTAGAATTGGAATCATCAATGAGCTGTTAATAGAATAAATTATCAAGATTTATCAAATAAGGCGGTGTCCTGTTCCTACCGAAAAGGAAAGGATCTCACTCAAGATCAAGATCTATCATTCAGCAATTCTTTTCTTATCTATATTTTAAAATTTTAAATTTGACAGCTAATCTTACATACTAAGTATATTTAAATGAGTAGTAAGTAGTAACGTCACAACTCACAATTACATCCATGGTTAGCATATGAACTAAACTGTGGAAGATACTAGTTACTCTTGTAAGTTTAACCAAAATAAACACTCGCAATATTATCAAATTTCTAAACAAAATATTTGAAACCTATTAAATTTTTAGTAGATCTTTTTTATAATTTTAATATTCTAAAATAACAATAATTTGTTATAATTTATTCACTATCCACTAATGGTTAAAGGAATGTAATATAATGTATTTTTAGTTTGAGTATTGATTACATTTCCAAAATAACAATATTAACTCTTAACAAAAAGATGTCATTAAAATGGACTGCAACTCTCAATGTAGGTAACTCAATTGTCGAATAAAATGGTGAGTCAGACAAACTAAAGAAAATCGTAATATATAAATAATATATAAATGATTCACAATTATAAAATGTGAGTATAACATGTTAAACGAAAAAAATAAAAATATTTTAATTATATTCCAAAGAATTTGAGTATAATTAAGAATTTTACTCAATTAAGTATAATTTCATTTCACTAATAAATTTCTTAGTTTTTTTCTCACTTAGAAATTTGTCTAATAGGCAATTTTTTTTCTCAAATTAAACTATTTTATAAATTTTATCTCACATAAATATTTTCATCTCATTAATAATTCTCTTCCTCTGTAATAAAATTAAGTGCAACTAACATATTATCCTTAATGAGATTCAAACATCAGCTTGTTAGCAATCAGTCAGTAGCAGTGAAACATAAAAATGCTCAAATATTTGTATAATTATTATATTTTAAAGCAAGTATATACATATAGTTAGTTTTATAACTATTTATTTTTTACAAATGTATAATTACAATTACATCTTTCTAAGTTTTTGCATAAATCAACTACTAAAGGCCTCTTGTCCTCACTATGTTAATAAATATGTAGAAGTGAGTATAACTACACATTAGAGTTATACATTTAATGCTCTTTTATATAAAGAAAATCTTAATAAGGGTAGTTTAACTCCTAATTGACACTAAGAGACGAAATCTAGAAGAGTTAATGAGATTAGATACTTTAGTAGTCCTAGTTGTAAATGATAGATACTAAGTATTGTGCATATTGACTTATGCAATGATGTAGCTAACACGGTAATAAGTATCATGCTTGAGGAGTATGTTCACAAGAATGAAATTCAAAAGAGGTGGTGTATAGCTATCACCAGCTTATGTCGAAACCTTGAGCATCATGCCCTTTATGTTCTGGGTGGCACACTTGCTATAACAGCCCGACAACTTATTAGGGACTGACGACTGTCCCCACAAACCAACACAAAATTTTTCAGTGTGTTTTGTCCTCACTCATACACTTTCCAAGAACTTTCCAGAAGGTCACCCATCCTATAATTGCTCCAAGTTAAGCGTGCTTAACTTTGGAGTTCTTAAGTGATAGGCCACCGAAAAGTAAACGCATTTTGTTAGTATAGGTAGTCCTAATCAATTCCTTTAAGTTATCCTCAACTATATACACAGTCTCTAGATCCCCATCTCATTTTGATGTAAATTTGATTCATTCATGTGCCCCTTACCGCTGGAAGCTTGCCAGGAGCCGCTTCTTGTCCGTGCCCACACTACACCGGCGATCACTCCCCGCCTTCGCTTAGCGCTTGGGTGTCACATGAAAAATTGTAACACCTTCATTTTCTTTATTTAAATAAACGAACTTTTATGCGAATAAAAAAATAATTTACTTAGTTTCACTCTCAAACTCCATAGTAACATAATAACAAAATTTACAAATTTCTTCTTATGAAAGTTTCATATTATTCCAAGGGTAAAATTTTGAAACATGAGATAATTAGATAAAATTTAACTTTATTTTTAACAAAACATGTAGCTAACTATGAATACATATAAAATTGGGATTTTTACTAAGGACAATAATGAAATAATTTCAACGAAATTGGCCCAAGTATCGTAAATTTTAAATCTGGCCTTTAAAATCCTTTACATAATTTAGTTATCACAAATTACAATTTGAATAAAATAGTACATTTTCTCAAACATTTCTAATCTCTACAGAGCAGTCTTCCCTTCAATACCCTTGGACTATGATTCTAGGATGGGCAGACACCTTTCTCTCTTGACATC